AAGATATGTTTGGATATAATAAATTTCCGTTCCATGTGGCTGTAGCAGATTAAACACTCATACTGCTGGTTTCAGCTATCAAATAATTATATTTAAACCTTTTCATATTAAAGGCTGGTTGATCCATAAAAACCAATCAGGAATATTGACTACATAGCACACAGGCTACCCGCCCAATACATAGCTATTAAACAGAATGCTACTACATTACCTGCTATATAGGTACTACATACGAGGTATGTTCAAAAATTAAGGTGACTTTGTATTTTTAAGAAAAAATATTTATTTATCAATATTTATTTTGTCCCCTTCAAAGTAATCCCCATCAGATACAATACACTTATGCCAACGGTTTTTCCAATCCTCAAAGCACTTCTCATAAGCACTTTTCGGTAGAGCCTTGAGCTCTTCCAGCGATGCTGTCTTTATCTCTTCAATCGTTACAAATCTCCGTCCTTTCATAGGTCTCTTTAGTTTTGGGAACAAGAAAAAGTCACATGGGGCCAAATCCGGTGAATATGGTGGCTGAGGCATGATTGTGGTATTGTTTTTGGCCAAAAAATCTCTCACAAGCAAAGATGAGTGAGCAGGGGCATTATCGTGATGCAAAAGCCATGAAATGTTTTTCCACAATTCTGAATGTTTTCTTCATATTGCTTCTCGCAAACGGCGCTTAACTTCAAGATAATACTGTTTATTGACCGTACAACCATATGGTAAGAACTCCTGATGCACCATGCCATAGTAATCAAAAAAAATAGTGAGCAAAATTTGACATTTGAACTTGGCGTGCTTTTTTCGGTTTTGGCTCACCTGGGCTCGAACTTGGCGTGCTTTTTTCGGTTTTGGCTCACCTGGGCTCTTCCATTGGGACAATTGGGCTTTGGTTTCAATATCATAAATATATATCAATGGTTCGTCACCAGTTATGACCCTTTTGAGTAAATCTCGGTCGTTGTTGACGTCATTCAACAGTTCTTGTGCAATGCTCATGCAACGGTTCTTTTGGTCAAAATTGAGCAATTTCGGAACAAACTTCGCTGACACATGTCTCATGTCCAAAACATAAGAAAAAATTTTATGGCACGAGCCAAGCGATATACCAACATCCTCAGCAACTTCTCTGATAGTGATTCAATGATTTTCAAAAAACAATTTTCTTCACTGCTTGAACATTTTCATCAGTTGTTGACGTGGTTGGGCGTCATTGGCATCTTCCCGGCCATCTTGAAAGAGTTTGTACCACTTGTAAACATTTTTTTTACTCAGAACAGTTTCACCGTATGCCACTGTCAACATTTCAAGTGTTTTGGAGCACTTTATTTTATTTTTTACACAAAATTTGATGCAAATCCTTTGATCCATATTTTTTAACAGCTACAAATGGCCGAGCACGCAAAACACTTATAACCTTTACGCCTCTCACAACCAAACAAAAAATGCTATACACTTGAAACTTGGTACAGATGTTCGGGAAGAGTGTACCAACATGACAAAATAAAAAAATCGATAATCGAAAGTACATTGCCCGCAAAATTTGAAAAGTCACCTTAATTTTTGAACACACCTCAAAGCTACCACATAACTTGTAGACCCGCAACATAGCAATTGATATATTTTAATTAAATTTGTTTAAAATACTGAGTATTATATCTTAAATAAAAGGCATATAGCCCTTTATTTAAGATATAATATTCAATAATCTTGAATATTATATCTTAATCAATAATCCTGAATATTATATCTTAAATAATATTATATCTGAATATTATATCTGAAATAATATTATATCTGAATATTATATCTGAAATTCAATAATCCTGAATATTATATCTTAAATAAAGGGCATATAGCTCTTTATTTAAGATATAATATTCAGTATTTTAAACAAGTTTAATTAAAATATATCAAGCTTTAAAGATAAACTTTAGTGATATAGAATCAAAAATTTTAAAATATAAAAAAAAACAATTTAAACAATTAAAATTGTTATATCAAATTAAATATATTACCTGATTTTTGTGATATCAAATTAAAAATTTAACACAATTTAATTTGACATCTGTTAACTAATAGTCTTTACTAAGCGCATTAAATTAGACATATACAGCCAATTAGACTCGAGCAGTTTCTATTTCAGCTAATTACATTCGTTATAACCATTGTAACTAAGCACATTAAACAGTAACTAAGCCCATTAAACATTAAATTACAGTATTAATATTATGGTTCTTTAATGTTATTCAGCAATCCACAAAACAACACATAAAGTAGCAAGCATGAGAATAAAGCAAAATATGATTTAATAATTTGTATTTGTAACTCAAAATATGAGTTTAAATAATTTGTGATAAATGTAGCAATTTTGCTACATTTATCACAAGCACACAGCAAAATTCTTTGTGAAAACTATGCTTAGTAGACATACATGCGTATATACATACATACAAATATATAAATATATATATATATATATATATATATATATATATATATATATATATATATATATATATATATATATATATATATATATATATATATATATATATATATATATATATATATATATATATATATACATACAGGATGTCTGTCAGATCAGGGAAAACAAGGAAAAGTCAGGGAATTCAGATATCTGCAAAAAAATCAGGGGATTATCAGGGAAATTAGGTAAATTTTTAAAAAAATCAGGGAGAAGTTAGATAAAATGGCTCTTCATCAAACTTACATAGCTTAAATAAGTTGTACATGATACACATAGTATAAAAATTTATTTGACAGATAGTTTTATAAACTTCTCTTGATACATTTAATGTGGGTTGTTTATAATTTTAAAGTTGAAGAGCATTTTTCTAAACGAATCTAGGTCAATTTTTGTGGAGTTGAGTTTGGGTAGCTTTAAATTAAATCAGGGAAAGCAGGTAGAAGATCAGGGAAAAGTCAGGGAAATCCACCTTGAAGTATTGGCAGACACACACACACACACACACACACACACACACACACACACACACACATATATATATATATATATATGTATATATATATATATATATATATATATATATATATATATATATATATATATATATATATATATATATATATATATATATATATATATATATATTTATATATATATATATATACATATTTATATAAACATACAGATATATAGAGTCAGTCACAAAAGTTTTCTCACACTAATAAAACTAATATCTTATAACATGCAATTCCTTAGTAGTTGGTTAAAACTTGTTTGTTCATATATTAAGTTAATATTAATTTTTTCTTCAAAAATTTAGTTATAAGTATGAGTTTAAATAAGAAACATCACATGTCTAATGGTATGTGTGAATTAATAATAAAATTGCATAAAGAAAAAAAATCTTTTTTCCAAATTTGTTGGTATAACATTAAACACATTCCACCATTCAAAGTGTTTTTAAAAAACTTGAAATAATTGGTTCTTTTAATACATTACCAAAAAGTGGCCAACCAAATTTAAATTCACAACACAGAAAGAGTATAGTTTAAAAAGTCGATTCAAACTCATATATTAGTGCACCAAAATTAGCAGTAGATGTTTAACTTAAAATTGGAAAGATAGTTATACAAAAAATATTAGACAAATACTTAGAAAATCGGGATTAAATGGCAGAGTACCTTGAAAGACACCATTTATAAGTGTAGAAAATAGACAAAAAAGATTAGAGTTTGCCAAAAAGTTTGAAAACAAAGATAAATAATTTTGGAACAAAGTTTTATTTACTGGCGAGAATAATTTTTAGACATAAAAGCTGTGGAAAAATACGGAGAAAAAAAGAATACAGAACTAGTAGAAAAAAACTTAATTCTGATAGTGAAACATTGAGGAGGAAGTGTGATAATTTGAAGATCAATAACTGCAGCTGGAGTGGGGAGTTTGGTATTTGTTCAGCCTAAGGTTTTAATTTTAGAAGTAGGAGATGTGTCAAAAGCTTTTATTATATCAATATCTATATTAGTTCTATATTAGATCTATATTAGTTCAAGATCTATATTAGTTTATTATATCAAGATATATTATAGTTTTATTTTCCAGGGTTAATGTCCAAGCATCGATAACTTACATTAAGTTTGTTAGGCGCAAATGACCTTTGATAAATCCATGTTGAGAAATGCTAAACAAGGAATGGTTGTTAAAATGTGAAACAGTATAAGATTTTATATTTTTTCAAATATTTTGACAACAATACAGGGAGGCTAATTGGTTAATAGTTTTCGATCAGTGACTTATCTCCTTTTTTAAAAATAGGGATACTGTGAGCATCTTTCCAGACTTGTGGTAAGACTCCATCATTATATGACTTCATAAAGATTATGGAGAAAGGAACTGAGATTTTATGACGTAATTCTTTAAAAACTCTGGGATGAATGTTATCTGGTCCTGGTTTTTGCATATATTTTTGGCTTTATTGTGTGAGTTAATGTAGTTAAAAAAGTTGCTTCTGGTTTTTTATTTTGAGAAATTTTTGATTTACTTGTTTTTTTTCCTGAATGGCTGGTTTGACATATTAAACCATGGAGATCTTTTTTTACAACTTTTTATTATTTGTTTTGGAATATATGTGTTTATTTGGTTGATTAGTGAGTCATGAAATAAATTCCATGAGTCAGTAGTTGACTTATTGTATAGCCTATTAAACCAATCAACTGATTTCATATTGAAATTTAATTGATCATAATTCCCGCAAGAGTATTAATGAATAATAATTTTTTTTATAATTGGATTTGGGTAAATGTTGATGGAAAAAGATACTAACTGACTGATGATGACTGTTCCAATAGGTGGCTTGTGATCTATATTGGTAATCATGCTGCAATCTGAAGATTATATGTATTTTTCTTTATTTTTATATACAAGTGTGTGTGTGTGAATCTTAACATACAAAATAACTAATTTTAATTGAAAATAATTTTAATTTCTAGTTACAAAAAAATGTAATTTCATTTAGATGTTTGGCTAATCAACCTTATAACAAATTTATGGATGATGAGGTATTTTTTTAATTTCATTTATTTTCACATGTTTTTGATTTAATTCAAAACATCTTTTTAAATGTTTTTTTTTTTGTTTTGTTTTGTTTTGCTTGTTTGCTTGTTTTTTTGTATTTTTTGTGTTTTTTTCTTGCTGACAAAAGGATCGATTAGAAAAAGGTAAAATGCCTTGGTATTTTCCAGCAAGGTATGGAAAATTAGCAGGTGTTAAACAAAATATTGGCGACAATGATAAATACCTTTTAACATATGAGCTTGATGATGAACAAATTAGCCTGGTTACATTACAAATTAGTGCTGATGATGTTGTATTAGTCTATAACAGGTTGGAATAACATTAATATATTTTTTTGTTTGTTTGGAAAAAAAGTAATTTTTTGATAAAATTATAATTTCGTTTTATTTTAATGTTTAATTAAAGAGCTACCGGTATAATAACACGCACTGCTATTCAAGATTTTGAAGCTCTCTCATTGGAAGGTCAACTTAGTGTTGATGTTTTGAATACTGGTTATGTTTCATCTGATTTTAGAGTATGTTAACTTTTCTCCATTTTTCAGACTTTTTTTATTAATATTACTTTACAATAATGTTCTCCCATCTATCATTTTAATATAACTTTATAATATAATTTTATAATACATTTTTGTACTTTATCTCATTTTATCATTATATTAAAATTTACTTTTTATTTTAATAATACATTGAACTTAATTTTACCTATCCCATTTTATTATTACAGTGTAATAATGAAACAGCTAGATAATTAAGTTTAAACAAAAATTATGGTTTGTTATTCAGTTTTATGGTTGTAAATGAGTTTTGATGAACTTAAGACAATAGGTCACATTAACAGCAATCATGGTAGTATTTGTAGAAAAGAGAAAGAGGTGCAACCTTATTATGTTAAGATGAGGCTTAATCTTGGAAGCTAAAGCAGGTACAACAACATTTACAATTTGCTTTCTTATAATTGCCTGCTTGTTTTAAGAATTAAAAAAGCAATGCCTTCATATCAATAATAAAGTATTTAGTTTTCTTATCACCAATTTTTTTTTTATTTTATTTTAATTCACCTCCTCAAGGCTGAGAAGGCCTCTACAGACGAGGAGGCTACTTATAATAGAGGCCAGTATGCAAAACCCTAATAAAAGCTTATGTCTTATCGCTTCCATCTCATAAATAACATTTGTTACAGTTAAAAATTTACCATCAGAGTGTGAGATGATTGAAATTTATATTGATTTTCATAGAGTAAGTTGTTAGACTTAAGACACACTAGAAGTTAATTAATAATGACTTTGCTAATAATAATAAGAAAACTTAATAAATAAAAACTAGAGAGGGGTCAGAGTAATCACCAAATTACTGGTTTAAAAACTGTACCTACATATGCCATTTTTTAGCAAGCAGGAAAACAAAATTCAGTAAACATTTGTTAAATTGTTAAGAGAGTTATGAAGCGAGTTCTGGAGTACAATTTTGAAAGATTGTATTAGTAATGTTGTCTGGATCACAGGTTGTATAAGGGTATAAGTTTATAAATAACTTTAGTAGTGGAAACCAGAGCAAGGGAGGTAAAAAGTCTTAATTTAGTCATTGGGTTTGTGGTTGCTTAATATGAACTTATTTTTGTGACAGTATTTAGAACTTTGCTTGGTTTTTTTTATTTAACAGCTCTTTATATTTTTGTAAGGTAAAATTAGTGTTTCTTTTAATTTTTTCTTTGTTTCCCATTTTAAGTGTATGGTTGCATTTGTAAAATTTACTCTACGAAAATGCTGAAAAGTTGTTAAATAAAAAAATCCTGTGCCTAATTGATACTTGAAAATTTGTAATTTTTTAAATAAAAACTGTTGCCGCAAAATTAAATTTTAACTTATTAATTTTAGATTTCAATCCCATCATGCACATCTGGTGTTCAGCCAATAGAAGAAAAGCGTATCACTATTGATCCTCAGATGACAGAGACTATTACATTCAAAATGATGACTTCCACAGATAAAAAAAGCGCACATGATTGCACAAGTATGAACGTGGCAATTTTTTTAATATTTAATGCAATATGTTATTCATGCATATTCCATAAAATATCTATTACTGCACATAGTTTTATAATTTATGCAATTTGTCATCATCTGTTGTGGCATTTAATTTTTTAATTATAGTTTTAAAAATATTATTTTATTTAGTAAGTATAATTTTTATTTTTAAGTTTTTTTTGTTTTTTTTTCATTATATTTTGCTTTTAATAAATATTATTTGGTATTTTTTTAAATAGTTTTTAAAAAACTTTTAATTTCTCTCAAATCTGATATAACAATTATAACAATTATAGTAAAAATTAATAAATAATATAACAATTATAGTAAAAATTTTAAATAAAAAGTATAGTTTTTTGTTTATTTATTTTTAGAACAAAACATTTTTAAATTTATTTTCATTATTTGGAAATTTATATTTTAGTATGATCAAATTCCTTGTTTTATTATTTGAGTTTCTTAAATGTTTTTAGTTAATTTATATGACTCAAAAAACATGCTGCTACAAAGTCGCAATTTTACATTTTCTACAAAAGCACCATGTGTTTGTGAAGTACAATCATGCAAATGCGATGTAAGTTTCTAAAAATTTTGTACAAATATGTTGCTTTAATGTATTATTTTCTTTGACCTAATCCTAATTTCTACAATCTTAAGTTTATCAAAAGTTATATATTATATGAGGGTTTTTTACTTTAATGCTGAACCAATGATCCAACTTAATGTTTCTTTACTTTTAAATAGTTTCTTTACTTCAGTAAATGTTTAGTTTTAAAAAGTTTTGTCTTTTTTTATGACTTATTAAATTCTATTCTTAATTTATTTATTTAACTCAAATGTTTATGCATAGATATGTTGATCTGAAAATTCAAAAAAAAGATACTATATTTTTCATTATTAATATTATTTTACATAGTGACAAGTAAAATTATTCTTTTAGTGCATCAATTGAAATCTCAACAATATATACCCCAAATAGTTTTCAATATGTTTTTTAATTTTGTACATTTATTTAATTTGTATAAAAATAAAATAAAATAAGTTAATTCTTACAAAAACCATCTAGTTGGTGCAAATTTAAATAAAAAGTTGAAAATTATTTGGGACTATTAAGATTTTAATTAAGGCACCACAAGTTTTATGAGGTACCTTACTTTGAGGTGTTCTATTATTTGCATTTTTATTTTTTTCTACAATCTTAAAGTAGTTACTACCTTGTGTAATCACAATTTTTTTTATACTTTTTGTATTTTTTATACTTTTTTTATACTTTTTCATGGGACAAAAAAAGCAAGATATGAAAAAAAAATTATTTTTTTAAATATCATGCTTACCTATCCCATCAAAAATAAATTTGCTGAAGTTTATCAATTTCAAAACTTTAAAAACTTTTGGAAGACTAAAAAGGTTGGCTGAAGTTTTTGATTCATTTTATACAAATTTTCCAGGCAACATAATTAAGAGTGTTTTATGACAAACTTTCTCAACTTTTTTTATAAATTATCCTTTGTTAAAAAATATTAAATGATGTATCCACCCAAATATTCAATTAGAATTTTTTTTATTTTTGTTAGCTGAATTGCATTTTTAGACTTTAATTTTTTAGAGTCAAATATGATTAGCAAGATCATATCCTACAAGAGTTAAGCTTTTATCTATGATACTCTTAAAAAAAACTTTACTTATCAGCAGTTTATAAAATTTTTGATACAAACCTGCTTTGCCATTAAAGTTTTGAATAATTTATTTTATTAAATTAAATGAATGTTTCACATCATCTTCTGAGATTAAGTACTTTAAAAGCACATCTCTAATATATATGGGGGTAGCAAGTTTTGTAGAACACATTTCCTTAACTTCAGTTGCTGCGTTCGCAAAATTTGTGATATATCTTTTTTGCAAAAATATCTTTTCAATTGCATTTGAAAATTTTTTTTTTGCAAAATTGTAACTCTTTATATCATGTGGTATACTGAAATCATGTAAAGTGGCTGTTAGAAACAAGGTTACACTTACTGGGATTAGTACTTTCCATTTGATAATTTGACTATTCCATTTGATAATTTGTGCTAAGGTGAGGTATTTAAGGTGATTCTTTAACTGTACTACAGCCAGGCTTGGACTGGGCTATTGGGATACCAGGAGATTCCTGGTGGGTTGGTTGCCCCCAAAGAAGTTATATTTTTAGTTAGGCTACATTTTATTTCCGTTGATTATTATAATCAACGGTAAATTCAAATGTAACTAAAAACATAATAACTTTTTGGGGATCTAATTACATCTAATTACAGGCTAATACATCTGCCAGCTAATTATATAAATTTTGGAGGCCATCTTTAGCTGACCCAAAGTAGTATTATATTAACGTAAACAAACCAAATTAGTTAACAAATGTTAAACTATTTATTTTATAATATAATTTTGTACATCTTTTAGTTTTGTTTTTTGTGTATTGTTCACTGACAGAAAAGTCACAGATTGGTATTATTGATAATATTTTGTTGTTATAAATTATGTTACTATTTATGTTTGCTGCACTATGTAATTTTGTTGATTGTACATCGAAATTTTGTCGGTATTAATTATATGAACTCAATGACAGATTTAGGCAAAAGCTAACATAGGCTGCAGCCTGAGAGACACGAGGCTCTGGGATGCTACAAGGCAAAAGAAAGAAAAAAAATGAAAAATTAAATTAAATTAAGAAAGAAAAAGTAAAGTCATCTAAAGCTTTAGTTTTTTTTACTTTTTTACGGTTTCATCCGAATTAATTTGTCTAATAATTATGCAAATGTTTAGTATTTAAAATTTGAATACTATTTATCATTATTTTCTAAATAAGTAATGTGGATAAATAAATAATTAAGAAACATAAGTTATTGATTTTTTGTACATTGACATGTTACAAACATTTTATGACATTTCTACATTAATCAAATTCTATAATGATGTCCATTACAGAGCAAAAGCTCTTTTAGATTTATTGACAAGTTTTAAGTTTATTTTGACAGCGTAATTGTTTTTAAAAGTATTTGAGCACATAATGCCATTTAAAAGTATTTGAGCACATAATGCCATCTGAATATTTGTAAACAACTGGAATGGATATACTAAGAGTCTATAAGATGGTTCAAGACAGTATTAATGAATTAAGCAAAGTAAATAGAAATTTTGATTTCATTTTTCAAACAGCTACAAATTTCTTATAACTTGCAAACAGTGAACTGGGAAAAAGAAATATCGACATTAAAGTTCAGACTGGTTTGAAAGAGAAAAGAATAAAAGCAAACCAACTACTTGAAAGTGCGAATGTTAAATTTCATTTCAATGTTCACAACATGGTAATGAATCAAGTAATCAGTAGTTTGAAACAGAGATTCTTGGTAGCATGATAGTTTATATGCTGATTTATCTTGTTTAGATCCAAGAAGTTTTGCAGAAATTTTGAAAAAAATGCCTAGTGAAACATTGCAGAGATGAGTAGTTTGCTCAAAAAATTTGATACTAGTGTAAGGAAAGATCAGCATCAAACGGAATTATTGGACTTTGCAAGGAAACGGGAGAGCTTTGTAATAACTCTTGAAGATGAACCTATTTTGCTATTTGACACAGAAGTATTTGACTCTGTCTTGGACAATTTCCAACAATCTAAATTTGTAGAATTTGAAACTGTCTTTACAATCCTAGAAATGGAAAACAGCGACAGCCACAGAAATAAATGCAAATCTTGCAAAAAATGTATTGTTTGTTGTTCTCCAAAAGTTCAACTTGCATAGTCTTGCGTATTCAAACTTGTTTCTGGCTTACAAATTTGTGTTGACATTATCCTCATCACAAGTTGCTTGTGAAAAGGTCATTTTTGAAATTGAAATATATTTTGAAAAAATTAAGAAAATTGATGAGCCAGTCAAGTTTACAATCATTCATGCAGATGTTTTGTGAAAAGGACCTTCTTCCAAGAATTAATAACGATGCAATCATTGATATTTTGGCATCAACTAGTCAAACGATGAAAAAGTTATAACAATCGATATTGAATAGCAGTTGTGTCGATTATTTCTACTATTTCTAGACTCCAACGTACACCAGTATTTTAGAAATATTTATTTTTTATCAATATTAAGGCTGGGAAGTTTAAAGTTTCTTTTTTATACTTTAAATAATAATAAACAATAATGAACCTAAAAATGAAAAGGTCCTTCACTAATAATATAAATAAATTTAAAAAAATAATGGCATTAATCATGGTTGCTGTCCTGTGCGACGTGAAGGCTCTCTGCGCCCCTATATATATATATATATATATATATATATATATATATATATATATATATATATATATATATACACACACACAGTATTGGACAAAACATTTGCAACCAACATCGAACAATGCTAAAAAGTGTTCCTCATTTTACATTTCTTAAAAACAAAACGAACTATACTACCACAGCAAACAGTTCAGGAGTCTGGAGTCATAGCATGCCATGACATGAGCAATCAGCTGACAGGTGACAACGCACAGGCAGAATTTTGTTGACAAGTGCCATTATGCAGAGGACAAAGCAAGTGCAACTTTTTTGGTTTGTTTTATTTTCTTAAGTCTGGTCCGTGTCAACGTCACAGAAGTTTTTTAATAATTAAAGGAAGTATCCAAAAGTTTCCAGAAGCATGCAGAAGTTTCCAGAAGTTTCCAGAAGAAGCATCCAGAAGTATCCAGAAACATTCAGAAGCATCCAGACGCATCCAGAAGCTTCCAGAAGCATCGAAAAGAAGCATCTAGAATCTTCCAGAACAGGTTCACACAGGTTCATTTTACTATATAGGAGACATGTAAACCGATATGTAATTCAGTCAGTATATGGAAATCAATTGTCAGTATTATCAAGACAGTTTATCGAAGTGAGTTTTATCAAAGTGTTTATTGAAGAACATCAATACAAAAAGTGAAATACAACAAGTGTTTCATTACATCAATACAGTCCACATCCAACCAAGACGTTGTGTTCCACAGAGCATTATTGTATCATCACAAGGTAAATGTAACACGGTAAGCCTTGAGAAGCGTGATTATTTATTTTTATTATTTATATGACTTCAAGTGCAAAAATGGCTCCTGACAGTCTTGGATTGGAACTAAGAAAGAAAATTATTGCCGATTATGTAAGTGGAATGTCACAAAAAAGTATTTGTGATAAATATCGCATGAAAAAATGGACACTATCAAGACTTTGTTCTAAATATCGTTCTACAGGGAAGTTGGCAGCAGATAACAAAAGTGGAAGACCGCGTTCCACCACTTCTAGAGAGGATTCTATGATTGTCAGATCCGTCAAGAAGGATCCCTGGATATCATCAGTTAAGATACAAAAGCAGTTAGAGCTGCCTGTATCAGACCGATTAATCAGACAATGTGCTGTTGAAGCTCGATTGTTTTCTCGACGCCCTGAGAAGAAACCGCTGATTTTACTAAAAAACCAGAAGAAAAGACTCCTGTTTGCTACATCTCATATTGACTGGAATTGCAGAAATGGCAAACTGTCCTGTTCAGATATGAATCAAAGTTCAACATCATTGGGAGCAATGGCATTTGCTGTGTACGTCGACCAGCCGGAAAACGTCTCAATTTACGTTACTGCTCTAAGACCCTGAAGCATGGTGGAGGCAATGTAATGGTCTGGGGGTGTTTTTCTGCTAACAGTCTAGGTCCATTACATCAAATCAATGGAGTAATGGAGCGTTTCATGTATAAAAATATCCTGAAAGATGTTGTGTTACCTCATGCTGAATGAAATATGCCAATAAAATGGTTTTTTCTGCAAGACAATGATCCAAAACACACTGCAAAAGTAGTCAAGCAGTGGTTTCAAGACAACCACCTATCAGTGATGGACTGGCTGCCTCAATCTCCAGATCTCAAACCTATCGAGAACCTGTGGGAGATCGACAACCGCAGAATTTATCGTGAAGGTGTACGTAATAAGGATCAACTGTTTGAACAAATCCAAAAAACCTGGGCAGTGATTCCACAAAGTTTCATCTATTACCTGATCAAATCTATGCATCAAAGATGCAAGGCTGTGATCGACAACAAAGGATTTGCCACAAAATATTGATAGCGAAATACAGCTTGGTCAACATTTTGTGGAGTTGCACTTGTTTTGTCCAGAAGGAAATCTTTTTTTTTTAATACTTTTGATTAATTTATTAATTTTCGTGTACAAATAATGAACTTTGTGATGAATAAAACTTGAAGAACGTTGTCTCTAAACAGTTACATAGTTATTTCTCTAAATTGTTATATATATATATATATATATATATATATATATATATATATATATATATATATATATATATATATATATATATATATATATAATTTGCTTGCTTCTGTATATTACATTGCTTGCTTCTGTTCTGGTGCAAGCAGATTTTTGTTTTGCAACATAATAACTTTATTAAATAATTTTTGTGCATCAAATAAGCACCTTCAAGCATTTTTGGTATATCTACTAGATACATGTTTGTTGTTGTGCTACATAATGCAATATAAAAAATATACAACATGCTTTGAGATGTTGTTTGCGCTGTGCGCATAATTTTCATGGTTGCCTGTATATTCGTGTTGAGCAGTTTGACGCACTTAAATGCGACGAGTTTGTTTGTATTAGAGCAGTAAACAATCAATATCAATTAAATTATATCAACATGCATCCTACAAAGCAGCTTTCCAACATTGTAAATGCTTATTTACATAAATTACCCAGATATATACAATTTATCAAGTTTCAGAGGTTTTTTAAGTTAAAATTTACTAAGTCTGTTTTAGCTTGTCCTCGAATATTTCCAGAAAAAAAATCTGCAAGAATGGATCATGTAAACTAACCATAGTTGTTTTACTTCTCTTGTAATGTAGAACAAGCCTCGTTTGAAGAACTCTTTTTTCTGGAGTTGCTGTCAGGTAACAAATAAAGTAAATTTTTTATGTAAATAAACAAATAAGTAAATCAACAGACAAAAAAAAATATTTAAATGCCAACATATATACAAAATAAACAATAGCTAGGTAATAAATAAACTTCAAATAAATTATTATTATTTTTTTTTTATTAATAATAATAATAATAATAATAATGTTAAGAAATACGATTGCAGTTCTATGCTAAGTATTGTAAACTGATCCACCTAAGAGATCAAAACTGGTTTTTTAGCATTGGTAGATTTATTAAAATGCAGAAAGAGATCATTCAAGAGAGCAGCAAATTCTTTTAAATTTTTGTGGAGAAGTTTAAGAAGAAGATTGGTTTTGTTCCCAGGAGGTCAAGGCGGAGGACATTTTTAAACCTCTGAGTTTTTTCTAGACTAGAAAGAGGCTAGGAAAATGCATTTCTTCAGAGGTAGACAAAGAATTTAAAAAATTTGTTTAAAATTAGTACATTAATTTGAACTATTCAATGTGATTAGAAACAACTTATTTATTTTTTTAAATAATGTATAAAACAACTTATTTTTTTTTTTTAATAATATTTTAAAAATTTAAATAATAACAAGTATCAGTGCTGAGAATCAGATTGTACTTCTTCAGTATTGCTAAGGATCTAGCAGATTGTACTTCTTCAGTATTGCTGAGAATCTAGCAGATTGTATTTCTTCAGTATTGCTGAGAATCTAGCAGATTGTATTTCTTCAGTATTGCTGAGAATCTAGCAGATTGTACTTCTTCAGTATTGCTGAGAATCTAGCAGATTGTACTTCTTCAGTATTGCTGAGAATCTAGCAGATTGTATTTCTTCAGTATTGCTGAGAATCTAGCAGATTGTACTTCTTCAGTATTGCTGAGAATCTAGCAGATTGTACTTCTTCAGTATTGCTGAGAATCTAGCAGATTGTACTTCTTCAGTATTGCTGAGAATCTAGCAGATTGTACTTCTTCAGTATTGCTGAGAATCTAGCAGATTATACTTCTTCAGTATTGCTGAGAATCTAGCAGATTGTACTTCTTCAGTATTGCTGAGAATCTAGCAGATTGTACTTCTTCAGTATTGCTGAGAATCTAGCAGATTATACTTCTTCAGTATTGCTGAGAATCTAGCAGATTGTACTTCTTCAGTATTGCTGAGAATCTAGCAGATTGTATTTCTTCAGTATTTGATAATTGAAGAGTAAAAATAAGTAGTAGAATGAAAATTATTGTAAATAGCGATGATTAAATGGAACTAGGAAAATAAAGAAATAATTATATTGGTGATAATGTTGTTTTAGTTACTAGAAGACCAGATAAGACAATCTATAACTAAAACCTTGAAGGGAAAGAGAATTGTCTTGCACTTTGACAGCATATAACGGAAAAGAAGAGAAAATTCTGTATTACTGTAACTGTTAAAACTGTTAAAAGAATTTTGATTGTACATTGCCGATTTTGACTACACAAATAACATTCTTCTAGGAGAAGCGGTACCAGGATTTTGTTCTTATCAACCTGCAACCTATCATGAAGTAGTTTACAGTTAAAGTATCTTATCAATAATTTTTGTATGTAGGGAAAGTACTTTTCAAATTTTTCTTTATACTTAATAATAATAATTTATTCTTAAGGTTAATGGCAGATGCTCTATACCTGATAACCTGATAACATGAAGGTATCCCAGATGATAAATGAGAATGATAAAAAAAAATGAAAAAATAGCGACATCTTTGTTTTTATATGCTATGGGCCCTGGTTTTTAAGATTCTACATGGTACACAAGTTGACTCCAAGTTATTGCATTAAAGTAATCGCTTGAAATAAAAAACTATTAGTCAAAAATTTGATATGCTCTTCTTGTCAGCATGCAGTGGCATGCTTTGCATTTAACAAGACCAGTTAGCTATGCAAGCCTTAGTTGATGATGATGTCAACAATAAGGATTAGAAGATGTTGGAAAATCTGGTCAAGTGTGATAATCCTGAGTAGTTTCATATGGAGAAACCAAAGCTATTTAGCAGGTCAACGGAACTTTCTGAGCTGGTAGATTCTTAATCTCGTCTTCTCAAAAAAGATCCAGATCCTTTTTTGAGAAGATGAGATCAAGGGAGATACCAGTCTAGCATTTGATATATTTTAAAGCTTTTTGAAATTTTATGAATCTGTGCACTGAAAGAAATATGAAGCTAATTCAGAACTTTAATAAAGGCTACAGGTTGAACGATATGAAAAAAATGGTCGCCATAGACAACAGAAAGAAGCTACAAATGGACCAGACAAAGTCAACCTGATATTTCGAAAATGTTTAATTTTCAAACTAAAAGTATATATTTTCAATACAGTTCCTAAAAATACAATTTTTTTGTTAAAGAAGTTCTACAGATATTTCATCAACAGAAACAAAAAAAAAAAAATTTTTTTCATTTTAAAAGGTTTTTTTCTGTTTTTTTGGAACACCTCAATACATATATATGTCGTGCAACGTTTTTTCGCTTTTTGTTTAGTGTTTTTACTTTATTACTTTGAGTGTTTATTTAATGATTTAGTGCTCCGAAGGTGGTGGCGTAAAATGTGTGCAAGCTGAAGGAAAGTTTATAGATAATCCAAATCTCTTTGTACCACAATCCACAGGTTTTTTGGACAAGCTGTGGAGTAGTATAAAATCCTTTCCGTCTATTATAGGTAACTTTTTTAGTGGAATATTTGGCTCTTTATTCGGAGATCTGGTTCAGTATGCAATATTTGCAGCAATAGCACTGGTAGTAATATGTTTGTGTTGCAATTGTGGTGGTTTTAGATTGCTCAGGAGATTCATTCCTAAATTCAATAAAAAAGGGTTGGTTAGACTTTATACTTCTTTTTTGTTGTTCGTTGTTAGTTTTTACTTTTTTTTTTTTTACTGTTTTTTGTTTGTTAGTTTTTCTTTTTAAGAAAGTTTGGGGAAAAAAGTCGTATTCCTGTAATTTATATTTAGGTATAAACATCTTAAACTAAAAAGATACCAAGAACAAATATATAAGCCAAAAGAGATTACTAATGGAAATCCAACTACAGCCATGCAAAGTATTACACCCGTACCTAGTATGCCTATACCGTCAAATACCTAATGCACCTACTCTATCATATGTAAACACTAACGTATTATCCAATGAAAGTTAAAAATTGTTAACCTTAAAATTCTCTAAAAACGAGGTTTTATACCTTGTAACAAGAATTATTCATTCAAATGTTACCTCACAGTTATAAATGAGGTTAATAACTAGTGTCTTGAAATTTAAAAGGTGTCATCTAAATGTATAAACATTTTAATTAGTTTTTACGTTTTGTCGTGGGAAGGAGTGTTGTAACTTGAATTCTTATTTGTTGTTTTGTTTTTTTGATTTATCAAATATTTTCGTATTTTTTCAAAGTTATCAAAGTTATTAAGTCAGTTTTAAACTCGTTTTTAAATTTTACAAATTATTTTATTATTAGCAAGCAACCAAAATAGTTAATTAGTGAATTTCATATACAATAAAATTACATTAACACAGTACTAAAAATAAGTTTTATATATATAAATATATATGAGTTATATGTAAATAATATTGAAAATTATCAAATGTATGTATTTAAACGTCAATAAAAAAAATTTTAAATTGTAGTTCATAAAATTTTTTTTACATGAGCTGAACTAGAAGAACACAAACTTAGTCTTAGTCTAATTGCTTAGCCCTGAGGATAGCATCAACGGAAAGGAAGATCCCTTAGTCTCCTCTAATTCATTCTTAGGAAGATCCCTTAGTCTCTTCTAATTCAGCGCATAATAGTTCATAACTAAAATTTATTCAAGCGAAATTCAAAATATTTAAAATCGAATCTGGAAAGTTTTCACGAGCAAATTGAATTTTAAAATAATTTTAGATTTTTTTTTTCAACCTGTGAAATCTAAAATTGTTTTCAAATAATAATATTACTGACAAAAAACCGTTTTATAAATACCAATGCGTTATCAAAATTATTTAAATGTGTGTGTGTATATATATATATATATATATATATATATATATATATATATATATATATATATATATATATATATATATATATATATATATATATATATATATATATATATATATATATATATATATGTTTAAGTTAATTGTTTCAGTTCAACGTTTGAAAATTTATTTGCTTTAATAAATATAAAAGACATGCAGTCAATTCAAACACTTCACATTTAAGTGGGTAAACATTTTACTTTAAATAGTTTTTTCAATATTTGTTTTATTCATTAATTGAAAACATTTTTCTTAATCAAGGTTGATTTGTGCTAATAAAAAAGTTTAAAGTAAAATTTACACCTCCCTTATTTTTTTTTGGAGGAGGGGGATGGGGGGTCGGAAAATTTGCATGGTCATAACTTTTGTAATTTACAATATTTTTCTACGAAATTTAAAATCTGTCGATAAATTTAAATTTAGTTTAAGATAGTAATGTTGAAATTTTATTACATCAGTGCCCTCATGTTTGGGCAGGGGGGGGCAAGCGTTTAGGGAATTTTTGTCATCCTAAATTTTTGCAAGGCCTCCTCATTTGGCATAGGTATGAACATACTTAAGTTTAGATTTTGCACAATGTGCGGAAGGATGTGTCCTATCTGAAACATCAAAAAATCCTGCAGGCGCCTATGGCAAAATTAGACATAATGGTTGGTGAAATAAACAATAACAAGTTAAATATCCAAAGAATCGAAAATGAAGTTAACGAATTAAAAGCCAGCTTAAATTTTCAAGAAGAAAAAGGTAGGGATGAATTTATTCTTCTTATATAACAAAATATGATAATGAAATTATGGTATTGAAAAAAAAAATCTATTATATATACTTAGAGAATCCACAACTTACGTATCGATGGCATAAAAGAAACCCCCAAAGAAAACTGGAGTGATTGTGATTGTGAGAAGGCTGTAAAAAACATTTTTAAAACAAAAATAAATATATTAAGTGAAGTAGTTGTGGAACGAGCGCACCGAGTCGGTGCAGTTAAAGATAATAAAACACCAAGATCAATCGTGTTAAAGCTTTTGAATTATCAAGATAAAAATAAAATATTAAGCTCACTAAAGGAACTGGCATTTATATTGATCAAGATTATGCAAAAGAAGCGGTGTTAGAAAAAAAGAATCCATGGCCTACTATATTACATGTGTAATATAGTAGGCCATGAAGAAGCTTTGGGTAGATGTTAAATGGTTACGCAACGAAGGTAAATTTTGCAGTAATTAAATTTGATAAAATTAAATTGTAGAGATTTTAGAAAGAGAACGCGCGATGTTTTATTTAAGCGAAGCGCTATTTTAACTATTTTAATAATGACTAACTTAGCAATAGATTTTGAAAAATTATACTTTAATGTTTTCAAATCGGCAAATGTTATACTTTTGACTGTTTGACTTTTCTGACGCTGATTTGCATTTTTTTTAACGAAAACAATTTTAATTCGTTTTTCTTTGAAATAAAAACTTTTAAAAGCAAGCTAAAAACTTTAAAAAGTAATTTTACTGAAATACGCATTAACATAAGAAGTATAAATAGCAACATGGATAAACATTTTCTTATCAATGCGATTATTTATTCATTATTATGTCTATAATTATAACTTATATTTGGAATGATTAAGTAATCAAAATAAGGAGAAAAACTAGTTGATTTTTTGCAACAAAAAAAACTAATGCCTCTTCAAAATTCTTGTTTATGTGGTCAAAGAATGGTTGTGCAAAAGTATGAACGTTGTCAAGTATCATTTACTTAACATTTTTATTATTATCTGCACAGAACAGATTATCCCTTGTATCTTTAAACTTTAAACTATTGTATAAATAAATTTGAATGGTCTGTATATACTTTTTTTTATATATGTTGGGCATAACGTTGAAAAACATTGGGTTTTGGGGGCATTTGATGTAACTATTAAAAAAGGGTATTTAAGAAGGGTCGTTAAGAGGATCGTACAGCTCAGACATTAGTGCATATTTATGATAGGTATCCTCTGTAATGTAATGTAAAATAAGTATTATAATATTTACATTGAAAATGTTTCATAATATTTATATTGAACTTGTTTTTTTTTATGTACAACACAAAATTTACGTTGCAAAAACAATAAGATAAGCCATTAAAAGATATGTAAAGAAGATAAGCTACAAGAAGATACCTTTAGAAGATCGATTAAAAGAAGATAAGCCACAAAAATATATGTTAAGAAGAGAAGATACCTTTAGAAACAAACTTTTTGGTTTATTACTTTCAACGTTACCATTATGGCGCGCAATAACGTAATATTTTAGCGCCCATTCTATAAAATACTTAAATGCGAACACCGAAAATTATCGTTCCGAGAACTTACGAACTTCACCGAGTTTGGGGTACGCCGTGTAGAGGTCCGCCGATCTTTCTATCTCAGGTGCCGATAGTCTGGTTTTTACAATTGAAATAACTAGCAACAAATCAAAAACACACTGGTGTCCACATATTACCGTCCACCTGAAGGTGATTTATTAAAATTTTCCAATCATTTAAAACAAGTTTTTATACAAAAACAACAATGAGCAAAAAAATATTCTGTATTGGAGACATAAACATAGATTGTTTACAATATAACAAACATGCCAGTATTAAACTTTTTTTTGACGAAATGCTTAATCATTACATCTTCCCGATTATTAACAAACCAAACTGAGTAACTTCAACTTCAGTTACTGCAATAGACAGTATTACCTAATTCAATCTTTAATACTTCTCTAAAAACAGGAACAATAAAGGGAGATATTTCTGATCATTTTCCTACTTTCTTCTCCATGACACAATATACAAAAACTATTAATTATTGTAAAAATAAAATTTAATAAAAGAAAATTAACAAATTTTCTATTCAACAATTTAAAAACTCACTGTCGGCAGAAGAGTGAATCAAGATATACCATGAATGCAACATTGGTTACACTTACTCTGTTTATAATAACTTTGAAAAAGTTTTCCTAAAAAACTATAAAATGCACTATCCAATTAAAGAAAAATTAATAAAAGAAAAATATTTAAAATTTCCTTGGATCACTAAAAAGTATAAAAACTTTTTATACTTTTTAGTGATTAGTGATTTTTTAGTTTGAAAAAATTAAAAAAAAAATGCAAAGAAATACTATTACTCAAATAAAATAAAAAAGACTCAAATGGTAAAATTAAAAAAAGAAATAATTGGGATTAAAAAATGCAAAATAAATAGTTTACCTGCTCAAATTGTCATAGATAATAAAGAATATGGTAATAATAATGCAATTTCAGAAAAATTTAAAAGTTTTTTTTGTCAACATAGGCCAAAATCTGGCTTTAAAAGTCCATTGTCCAAACAACTCATTTAAAACTTATCTAACTAGTGTAAAACAACGAATTAATATTTAAAGAACTAAAAATTGATGAACTCGAAAATGCCATAAACTCTCTTAAAATAAACAAGTCTCCAGGTATAGATAGCATTTGCAGTAATATTGTCGTTAATGTCTTTTCGGAGATCGAAAACCTATTTTCGAAATATTCAAATCATCAATTAAAAATGGAACTGTACCAGATAAATTAAAAGTAGCTAAAATTGTACCAATTTTTAAAACAGGTGAAACATTTCTAATAAACAATTACTTCCAACCTTTTCTAAAATACTTGAACGAATAATCTACAATAGATTATTTGAATACCTAATTCAAAACAAATTCTTAAATAAAAAACCATTTGGCTTTCAATCACAGCACTCAATAGAACATGCAATTTTAGATTTAGTTAATAGCATAACTGATTCTTTTAATGAAAAGCAATTTTTACTATTATAATACAAAGTATATTTTAGTATATTATATTATAGACCTATCCAAAGCATTTGACACTATTAATCATGATATCTTACTAAAAAAATAGAAAAATACCGAATAAAAAATACTACCCTAGATTGGTTTAAAAGTTATCTGTGAAGCAGACAACAATGTTTTATTTCAAATGATAATTATATTGTATTTATATATCTTGTAAGAAATGCATTTAAAAGTTATCTGCCCAACTTGCCCCATTTTAAAATAATGTGGTTTTAAAAAGCTCATTTTATAAAAAAAATTAGCGACGTGAAAGCTAATTAGCTTTTTAACGTCGTATTAATACGACGTTAATTAACTTTTATGTTTTAATAGATTTTCCTGACATTTATGAACAAAACTTATGTGTGTGTGTGCGTGTGTTTGTGTGTGTGTGTGTGTGTGTGTGTGTGTGTGTATGTGTGCAAGGCCGACGCGATAAGAGGGTGTGGGGGGGGGGGGTGTCACCCCGACTAAAAATCATTGATGGGGGGGTGACACCCCCCATCCCCCATCAATGATTTTTAGTCGGCAAACTAGACCCTT